AAAATAAATTATAAAAATAAAATAAAAAAAAATTAAAAATGCTCGTGTAAAAACACGCGAGCGGTTGAAAAGCGTTCGTGTGAAATCACACGAGCCCTTTGCAACCGCTCGTGTGTTTTTACACAAGCAATTAAAAAAAAAAAAAATTAACAAGGCCTGCTCGTGTGGATTTACACGAGCGCAGTGGATGCGCTCGTGTAAATTCACACGAGCAGGCCAAAGTCCGATTTTTTTCGGTTTTTTTTCGGATTCGTAATCTACATAACAAGAGGATCGTAAAAACGTAAAAATTACCTCCGATCTGTGGACGATTTGCACGGGCTTTGCGAAAGAAAATCGAATGGTTGAGAGAGTTTTTGAGTTTTTTCACTTTTTGTTTTTTGAAGAATGGTAAAAAATGTGCCTGACTGTTTAATATGTGCCTGCACAAATCATTTCAGAGAGTATTATGAAGTGCTCCCTCTGGTCCGATTTAATTGTCATTTTTCAGCTTTGCACAAAGATTAATAATTTTATTAAATGTGGTCTTGATTTTAGGAAAATGTATGCTTTTAGACTAAAATGACCTTGTCTTATAATTAATAAGAGAGATAAATTAGTTAAAAAAAAAGTGTTGGAAAGAGTTTATAAGGGTATAAACTGGAAATTAAATAATTAATGAAGTGTTGGAAATTAAAATTGACAGATAATATGAAACAAAAAAAATTCTCTAAAGTGACAGATATTATAGAACGGAAGAGTATAATTTAAAGTTTATTGAAGTTGAATATTTCACCCCCACAAACTATATTTTCACTTCGATTTCATCCATTGACCGGTTTGACTGACATTGACCGACTATGAATATTCCCTTTTATTATGCTAATGTTATTTAAGAAGAGAATTGTGAAAAACAAAATAGTTATAAAAAATCAAACGCATCAACGTAAAAGTTGGTGAAGTGAGGTTAAATTAAGGAACCAGATTATGAATAAAAAATACGTTTGATATGATTAATTTGCTAGGAAGTAAAATTTAAAAAAATATATATACGTTTGTAGTCTTATTTTATAGGAATAATTTGAGATTGAGATTGTTAAAAACACACACACATAGGTATGTGTGTGATTGTGTGCAGATCAACGGTTAATAATCACCCAGTGTATTTCACCGGGTGTAGCATCAAACAAACTGTGATTAGACGAATATAAACTACGACTCATAATACAGCTTTATAAATTTGATTGGGCCCAAATAGGCTCAAACTTTTAGAATTGGGCTTCCTTCGTTTCTCATTATTGGGCTTAGGCCCATCAACATTCCATTATTTATGCATAAGTACTTCTCTTTAGGAAAAACAAAGAAAACTGGAGTTGGTACAATTCCCTACATCTTCCACTCGTTTCATCACTTTTTTCTCACTCAATCCTTTTTCTTTTTTTTTTTTGAAAAAATGAGTTCATCTACCACTAATATATTGTTTTCGAATGTGTTTGGTTTTAGTATCTAGATGCGGCACTAGTAAAATTGAAACGAAATTTAGACCATTTTTTCTAGCCTTTTTATTTTGTTTTTAGTTTTGCTTTAAACGATCGTTGTGGGAGTTTTTAATTAGAATTGGGTTTCGTGGAACCACTTGATCAGTTACAAGCAACAAATAAGAATAAAAAAAGTTGAACTCCGGCCTTCGATAGAAATCATATATAATTAATTAATGAAGAACAAGTTATCGCTTATGCAAATTTTGAACAAACGAATATATATAAGGGGCTTGCTATTTGCAGCAGGTTTATTACTAGGTCGTAGCAGGATTTTGGTCATTATTTCAAAACACTCCTAAAAATTCCAAATTCTCTCTACTTTCAATTTCTGAAATTTTGAGATTTTGATACTTGTTTCGATAATATTTAAAGGGCAACAACAATCATCTGAATCGCCGATTTGGATTACGATTATGAGGTAAAATTAGTTGCTCGAATTTTTTTCGTGATATTGAACACCACAAAACTATCAAAAAAAATGAATGTTTCGTGCTCGATCTACAGCACGAACTATCATAAAGTTCTAAGATTTGAGCCATATAGCACAAAACAATCAATTTTTTTATAGTTTCATACTCTAGAGCATAAACTAATTCAAAAATTGGAATACATGGTAGTTTAATTTGCTTAAGAATTCGAAGTTTGAAGGGATGTTTCATGCTCTAAAGCACGAAACGGTCAAATTTTCGAACGTTTCGTGCCCTAGAGCAGGAAACTCCCCCAATTTGCATTTCTTTTTTGAAAAAAACCCTAAAATCTAATTGTTAACTAAACGTAAATAAATTAACTGAAACGAACTAAGTCGTTAATAAATCTACCCCTAAAACTAACGGACGTGTGACGGAAAAATGGATTTGAGGGTGTATATGCTACAAGGTTAAACGTTTTGGGTGTACTTGCCAAAAGATCAAAGTTCAGGGAAGGTGAATGCAAATTACCAAAGCTACGGTTTTTCCTTTTCCTCATTTGTGTGAGATAGACAACTTCTTTTACTTTCGTCTGGGAGTCTAGGACCTTAAACCCTAGGGCTTGGTCATATATGTATGATGATGCTAATTACTTAGATCACCTGGGGTGGTGTAGAAAACGAACTGGGAGAGCAAAGCGGATCAGTAGCTTGACAACTTGATGATCCTGAGGTACCTGCGATTATAGAACACATGAACTAAGCCGGGGTTGATCCGGCGGAAACCCCTCCGACGCTCAAGTCAGACGTGCTGATCATAGAAAATAGTCCAGAGAATACAGTTGTAGTATTGCTCAGTTAATATGACGTACCTTGAGGAATGAGTTCAAACCTTTATTTATAGGTTAGTCGAGATTGTCGGGCCCAAACCTTACTTGAAGGTGATTGGGCCTTGGTGATAGTGGTTTTCGATATTGGGCTCGTGGCCCAGTAAGTAAATAATTTGTAGACCCATTGGGTTGGACCAATTAGGCATATCCATGTAATTTATAACTTCTTTGATTTTATCTAAAAACGTCAATACACAATGAAGAATATTAATTTTTAAAGCTGATCAAACTTTAATAGTGAATTAAGATGTTTGAAGCAAATCAGGTTTTACTTACGTATGAAAGTTAAATTTCCGTGTATTATATTAGAGGGATTTGTAAACATAATTTTGTTGTATCCTTATCCTATACAATTACTTCTTTAATCTACCGTGCATTATATATATCACCACCATGCAACATTATTCTCAAAATATATATATCAAAACACAAAACGAGAGAAAAAGAGAGGGAGAGAGAGAAAGAAAAAGAGGAGAGAGAGATGGAGTTCTGGACGAGGGGAGAGAAATTGGGAGAAGGTTCGTTTGGGTTTGTATCCATCGCCAGAAGCACCAGCCCCCACCAACAAGCCAGCGGCCTTCCGGCGTTGATGGCAGTAAAATCAGCGAAAGAATCAGATTCGAAATCTCTGTCAAGGGAGAAGGATCTGCTCGACAAATTCAATGGATGCGCGTCAATTCTGCGCTGCTTTCGTGAAGATTACACCACCGAGAACGGCCAACAACTCTACAATATTCTGCTGGAGTACGCATCTGGCGGCTGCCTGATCGACCGCATGGCCACCGGAAGAAAAGTCATGCCAGAGAAGATGGTTAGCCACTACACAAAGTCAATTCTCACCGCACTGAGTCACATCCACAAACTCGGGTACGTCCATTGCGATGTAAAGCCACACAACATCCTACTTTTCAAACACACCCACGATGATGGAGATTGGGAAGAAGAAGCAAAGCTTGCAGATTTTGGGAGTTGTGTGAGATTCGCCGACGAGGGCAACAATGGTGATTTCAGGGGGACCGTATTGTACGCGGCGCCGGAGTCAATATCTAGGCAAATATACGTGCCGGAGTCGGATGTGTGGTCGTTAGGGTGCACTGTTCTACATATGTTGACCGGGAATTCGCCTTGGACTTTCGACAAACACGTGACGGCCAAAGATGTTCTATTCAAGATTGGTTGCAGCGATGCTATTCCGGAAATTCCGACAACCAAGAAGATTTCCAAAGAGGCTCAAGATTTTCTAAAGAGGTGCTTCATTAAGGATCCGACTGCCAGGTGGACAGCCGACATGCTTCTTAATCATCCGTTCATCAAAAACCACAACCGCCACCACCGCCGCCACCATCACCACGGCCCTTTGTCGTCAAGATTTTCGCACGGGATTCATTCATTAGTGCCTCACTGTTTTCACATACCAAAAAGTGCTACTGTCCATGCATGTTGATATATGGACTTGAATTATTGTAATTTGTAATTAAACTCATATGTTCTTCTTTACATAATATATACATGAAGTATTTTATTTTTAACCTTTTTTCTTCTTTGGCACAAAATTAGGTTAATCTTTTATATATATATTATTTCGGTATACTTATAATCTTTATTCGGTCTTTTTTTTTTTTTAATTTGGATATAAGAAAATTAATTATTGCATGATTTTGACACAAGATTTTCAAGATTGCGAATGCAGCAATCACGCGTGTTAAAAAATGTTAATAAACGACTACGACGAAAATTTTTGGAAAATTTTTCCAATCTTGATGTGAGTACTAAGACAACAGAGGGATTTGCTTATCCAATCTTGATGTGAGTACTAAGACAACAGAGGGATTTTCAGAAGCTTCTGAGGTGTGGATATAAGTATGAATGCTATATTTCTTAACATAAAAATAATACACATTTTGAATCGTAAAAATTCGATACAATTATGTAATATTAAATAAATGGCTTTTCTATTCAAGATTAAATCGGAAAATTGGAAAATCGAAACGAACCGTTGAATAAAATCGTAAATCACAAGCGCAATAGCGGATGGGAAGACAACACCTTCACCACCTATACAAGACCGAAAACAGAAGCAGGAGCTTGAGCTAACTCGTTTCCGGACCGTTTAATAAATCGCAACAGATTGATAACCTAATACGACGTACCTCCCTTAACCTAATAAATTAATAAATCTTAACCCTAAACTCGAAAATTCATAACACAAAAACAAACCGAATATTTGAATCTACTCAAGCTGAATTGAGAATACTACTACATGCTACTTGAACCAGCATCTGCTTTATCATCAACCATGTTCGGATTATTATATAATTACTAGCTATTAGTTATCGCGTAAGTATGTTACTCTCAAATTTTCATAAGGAATTTTGAAATTTCAGCAAGAAATTTTGAATTTTTCCATGAATATTTAAACTGAAATTTCTCAAACTGTTTGTTATCTTTTTAAGTATAGATCATATAGGTTTTCCTATTACTCCAAGTATTAACAAGTTTGTTCAATAGGCTTACACATGAAATATTGCTCATATTTTATACTATTCAACCTCCTAATGTGTAATGAGCATTAATTTAATCATACAGTTAGAGAGAATGTTGATATATTCTAGAAAGTCAAGTGCCAGTAGAATTGAGTGGTTTCTAGAAGTTCTTAGAAATCTATAACATGTCACAACCTCCAACATATTTCTAGAATATGTCTATTTAAAAGTGATCAACTATAAATTTTCTCATTGGGTTTTTTTAATTTACTGTAAAATTAATATTTTTTTTTGTCATTTCATATTAATGGTGCAAACTCAGTTAAAAAAATATTTTTTCAGTAGTCATATTTTTATATAATAATAATTCAAGCAAATATTTTCAAATATGACAACAAAAACCTATCAATCTCCCAATTTGAAAAAAATATGGAGATAAAGTTTTTCTATAAGAAAATTTAATTTTCAATTAATTTAATGAGTTTATTTATTTTGCATGTTGTACTTCCGAAATTAGATTGAATGGTGGAAAGAAATAATATTTTTATTTTGTTTTTTTCACCCTAAACAAATACCATTAGAAAGATTAAGTTTCTCTTATTAACTTTACAAAAAAATTATTTAGGATGCTTTGTGAATAATTTTGCGTTTCGAGGACGTAAAATGCTAATAATTATTTTTGGGGATGCCAAATGCCAAAATGCTATATTTTAGGGATTCAAAAAGCTTTTTAGCCATTAAAATCAATATATTAAAAGATGAAAATACCATAGTTGAATATATCAATTTCTTTTTACTAATTCCAGTAAAAGACTTAATTACATCTCTCTCGCTAATTTGGTCATAAAAAATTAGACATAATTTAAAAAAAAAAAATACAATTCTGAAGTCATTGGATGAGTATATTTTAGTAACTTCAAAATTGAGTTGAAGTGTTGTGAAAACAAGAACGACTTGAATTGGCATTCTGCACCGAAAGAATAGCGTAAAAAAGAAAAATAATTCTTCCAATTACGAATGATTTATTGTATTTCGAGGGTAAAAATGCAATCAATTTTTTTTGGGTGCAAATTAAGAAACAACTATATTTCAAATGTACAAAGTGGAATTTACCCAGAGATTGCACAATTCCATGGGTAATTTACGGCCCAAGAAGTACAACCCTGGCCAACTAGGGATCTGTTAACCAATGAAAACAAGGTATAACGAAGTTTAAAAGAAGTTCATATATATATATATTTTTTAAAGTCATTTGATAAACAATGTTATACGAAAAAGATAAATATATATTATTTGATTTTTCAAGTAATTTCATCAGCTAATTTCTCTCACAAATTTAATAAGAATAATTTTACTATTTAATATCCCTACAGCTTATAAGATGACCCTTAAATGACCATTCAAGCAGTTACCTAAGATGACTCTTAACCTAATTCTTCTATAATGTTTGCATGCATGAACTTTTAATAATAATGAAAATATGAGTGTATTTTTTTTATTAAAAAATCGAGCGGTATTCGTGGTTTATTAGTGATAAAAATTACATCTTTCCATTATATTGTTTAGTTTATAAATTTGATCTTCTAATCTGTTTCTGTCTTAATATTTCTGAATTTCTATGTAAGAAGATAGATTTTTGTATATATGAGTTTATTTACAAATTACATGTCTTAATATTTCTGAATTTCTAATGTAAGAAGATAGATTTTTGTATATATGAGTTTATTTACAAATTACAATTTCAAGTCCATATATCAATATGTATGGTGTTACAGGGGTTTCTTTCTTCAAGACTTTTTCGCTTGTACGGTCTGATTTGCCCACCAAAATCAGTCAACCAACAAAAAGCACAAAAACAAGTCTTTTAAGCCAAAGTAAACAATAACAAGAGTATGCAGCGGCAAACAACACACAAGCACGTTTACGGGCAATGCCCAACCTTTATATTAATTCTCCACAAAGAATACAAGGGAGACTAAGGTGTACACACAAAATCCTCACTCAGAATGCCCACAATTGCAATATGAACTCTCTAATGCTAGATGGGTCGGATTTGTGCACTCAAAGCCATATAAATACAATGAAGAAGGTAGTTTTCACATAAAACTACCTAGGGTCACTTGGCACCACACTAGTCTAACACTTGGCCAACTATTACAAGTAATAAGAGGCAGTTCCACATGCATTCCAGGCCTCAACCGCTCCGCAACTTCCCTCAAAACTGCCCATATGGTCGGTTGTTGGGGCCTGCCTTGCTCGGGCGCGCGCGCGTGCACCAAACGGCCCAAAACAGCCCCGTCGATTGCTAGACAGCCCATTTGCCTTGCATTTTTCACACATTTTGCTTGCCTTGCCAATCACTTGCTAGTTCTTTGCCCAAACGGTCATTGGCACACCCGCACATCGGGCTACCTTCCTTGACTTGCCAACCGATTGCACTCTTCCATCGATGTGAAGTTGATACCGAACTCGGCTTGTTGTCGACGCGGTCTACAGACGGCGTTTCTCGGTAGCTCTGTGTTCAGATTATAAGCCATTGTTGAGGATCTGTGTTGGATTCAGGCTCTGGTTCTTGGAAAGAGAGCAAATGGTCGATCATTGTATTTGTATTCATCAATCAAGCCTTGCAAGAAATCATCTGACTTTTGTGGACGCGGTGAGCGTCGCCGTCAACAATTAGGTAGTCGAAGTACTCCGGTGGGGGAGCTAACGTGGATATAAGTATGAACGTTATATTTCTTATATTTATATTAACGCGGCGGATATATGCAAGCTCATTTTTTTATTAATTCAAGACCTCCAACATAAAAATACTAATTTACCCTTAATGAAATTCAAAACCAAATAAAAAAACATAAATCAAAAAAAAAAAAAAAAAGAATCGGCGTTACAACGCCGATTTTGACTTGTAAAGTCGGCGTTGTATCGCCGATTTGGTTAGCAAAAATCGGCATTGTGACGCCGATTTTCGTGTACAAAATCGGTCTGGATAAACCGATTTGGGAAACCAAAGAAAATACACAAAAAAATCAATTTCAATCTCAATTGTTTTTCCAAAATCGGCTAAAACTGCAACTCAACAAGAAGTAAGCATAGATTAATGTTCATCCACGCATATTTATTAAGAATCGATGCTCGATTAATGTTTTTGAATTAACAAACAAAAGTTTAGTAAAAAGGACTTGTTGGTGGTGGTGGGGTGGTGGTGATGGTGCGGTGGATGTGGTGCGGTGGGTGGGTCGCTGGTCGTTATCGGCGCGGTGGAAGTCTCGTTGGTCGGTGTCTCGGCGGTCTGTGGCGGCAGTTGTGAGTTTTTTCTATTTTTTTTCTATTTTTTTTTGTTCTTTTTTTACTTTTTTTACTTTTTATTTTTTGGTCTTGAACAAATTAAAAATAGAGTTTCTTTGTATTTTGGTATTATTTATTGATAAGGGTATATTCGTCCTGTTTGGTCTTGATCTAATAAATGAAATTAATTTTCGGGCTTGAACTAATAAACTCATTTATATGAGTTTGAACTAATAAGGAAATAAGCTTGTATATATCCGCCGCCTTATATTAATTCAGTCACTAAGTTTATGTTATATATACTATTAATTTTTTTTATATATATTTATATTTGTTAGAATCAAAAGAAGTTGCAGCTGCGGATCTAAGATCAACAAGCAAAACAGCTTTGTCCTATGATTCAATGCCAATTCAGAACCAAAAGAGACTTTCTAATTACATTATATTACGTTTGATGTTTTTTATAAAAAAAAAAAAAGAAAAAAATCTTATTTAATTCATGTTTTATAATATTTTTATTTATTTCAAATAATATGGTAAATTTTATTTTTTAACACAAAAAATAATATACATGTTGAATCGTAAAAATTCGATACAATGTAAAATTAAATAAATGGCTTTTCTATTCAAGATCAAATCGGAAAATTGAAAAAATTGAAACAAACCGCTTAAT